AGCATGGTACTTCATGATTACGCAGTGCACACAGATATAGAAGTCGCACAGGAGCATTGTACTTCATGATAGACTTTTCATGATTTTATGTGTCTTTTGGTTTGTTTTTGAGACAGGTCTTCCTGTAGCCCCAGCTGGCCTGGTACTGGACCAGGCTGGTCTTGATCTCACAGAGATTCACCTGTCTCTGCCTCCAAAGTGCTGGGATTAAAGGCATGTGCCACTATGGCTGGCAATGTATCAGTTCTTTAATATTTAAGTTTCTTTATTTGATATTTAAGATGGCTCAATGGGTAAAGGATTTGCCGCCGAGCCTGTGACCTGAGTTCAATTCCTGGGATCCTCATAGTGGAAGGAGAGAACTGACTCCCATAATTTGTCTTCTGACCTCTACATGCTTGCCTGCACATATGCACACACACACATTCACACACATGTAAAAATACTTAGGACAGCAAGTGCCCTAGGTGTACCTGAGGACCATTTAAGGTGTTTCCTACCCAAGTCTCTATATGACATCTGTTTCCTTTTGCATGTTCCCGTCAACTGAAATTCAACTTACCCCAGTCTGGTTCTTTAGCACATTTTCTCACGAGCTGCCCCTTGTCTAGGACTCCCTAACTTGAAAGATCCCCTTGATATCTCCGTCCTGCTCAGTCCCACAGCCTGGTCCCACTTTCATTCCCAGGCTCCCTTGAGTCTGCCAGCCCTCTGTGCCTGCCTCCAGCACTGCAAGCCCCTGTCTTTCTGTGAGAGACAGTGGAACATCCTTTGGAGTGGCTGTTCCTATCCCTTCCTGTCCTGTCCTCCCCCGTCCTCCCCCCTGTCCCCTCCCACCCTCCATCCTTCTATCCCTTCCCCTCCTTCTGTTGGGAATCAAATTATATCCCTAAACACAACTGTGGAAGTCTTCATCTCAAGTGCCTGTGAACAAGATCTTGTTTGAAATAGGGTATCTGCAGCTGTCTTTAAGTTAAAAGGAGGGCATCCTGGATCAGGGTGGTGCCTTTACAGGAAGAGGAAGCAAACACCCAGACACCCAGGAAGAAAGCTGTGCAATGCTGTGGACAAAGGCTGGAGTAATGGCAGCTGCCAGCAATAGTCAGAAGCCAGGAAGGGCACTGAAAGGTTCTACCTTGTCTCAGAGGGTGTGTAATCCTGCCAGCACCATGATGATTGACACCAGGCCTCTAGGATGGTGAGAACAGACTTTCTTCCTAGTTCAAGTCACTCAGCTTGTGGTATGAGCTTCCCAATACATTCTCTGCACCTGAAAATTCAAACTCGTTTGAAAATTCATATCTCATTTGGCAGCAGAAAGTCCCCCTGGGAAGCTGTTAGGACAGTCTGCACACCTTGTCCCCAGACAGCCTGTGAACCTTCAGCCTGACATCCCACCCCAGTCTCCGCAGCCCCATCCAAGTTTCCTGTTCCTGAGTGAGGTCCCAGTGATGTAAACTCAGAGCATAACTGCTAGCAATTTGTATTAATTTTTATGTGTATGCGTACATATATGCATCTCTGTGTGTATATGTGCATATGTATTATGTGTATGTGTTTGCATATGTGTTTGTGTGGTGTGTGTCTGTGTATGTGTGTGCTATATGTGAATGTGTCTGCATGTGTAAGTGTGTGTGATGCATGTGTCTGTGTATATATGTGTGTGTGGTATGTGATATGTGTGCATGTGCATGATGTGTGTGGTATGTGTATGTGTGGTGTCTGTATGTGTGTATGTGTTCATGTCAGTGAACATGCATATGCATGTGGCGGTCAGAAGTCAACATCATTTTTTGAGACATGCTCTCTCATGCACCGAAGCTCAACCATTAGGCTAGGCTCACTGTCCATTGAGTGCCAAGAATCTGCCCATCTCTCCCTTCCCAGGGCTGGGATTACAGACATGCACCACCACACCTGGCTTTTTATGTGGGAGCCTCGCTGAGGATCTGAACACAGGACCTCATGCTTGAATGACAGGCACTCACTTCACTGATTGAGTCATCTCTCCATCTCTCCGATGTTCAAAGATAACCTTATTCAGAATTTTCCAGTTTAAAAACAGTATCAGCTAGAACACACAAGGCTTTCCTCACAGTCTAGTTTCATTCTCTGGAAACCTCCCTCATCTCTTGCCTTTGATTTTTTGATTTTTGATTTTTTAAAATATTTTATTTATTGTTTTTATTTTATGTGTATGCGTGTATTGCCTGCATGTAGATAACTGCACCTGTGTCGTGCAATGCCCGCAGAGGACAGAAGAGGCTGTTGGATCTACCGGAACTGGAGTTACAGACAGTTGTTAGCTGCCATGTGGGTGGTGGGATTCGAACCTGAGTCCTCTGCAAGAACAGTGTTCTTAACTGCTGAGCCATCTCTCCAGCCCTTGATTTTTTTATTTTTATTTTGTTGGGTTTTTTTAATGTGTATGATTGTATTGCCTGTATGTATGTAAGTGCACCCATGTCGCGCAATGCCTATTGAGGCCAGAAGAGGGCATCAGATCCCCTGGAACTGGAGTTACAGATGGCTGTTAGCTGCCATATGGGTGCTGGGAATTGAACCCAGATCCTCTGCAAGGGCAGCCAGTGCTCTTTACCTCCAAGCTCCAGCCCCATCTATGGCTTTTGAATCCTGTCCAGCCCAACCTGGATTCTTGCGTTCCTCGGACTAAAAATGACCAACCAGGCTTGTCACTGGTGCCACCAAATGTGGAACAAAGTCTTAACCCTACAGGAGAGACCTCTGGCTTGGCCCTTTGGCTTCATGTAGAATGACAAAGTGAGGGTGTGGGCTTCAGAGGAAAGCCAGCAGGTGTGGCACTCTCTAACAGAACAACACTGGCTATCAAGGTAGAGGTGGGAGCTATGCATGCCCAAGATGGCCATAAACCAATTCCAAAGACAGCTGTAAACCAATTTAGAGGGATGGTGAAGGAGTGGAAAGGAATGGGTCACGTACAGCCAATTTAGAGAATGACTGAACACCCACCAAGCAGGGACAGGTCCGGCACTGGAGTTGCTAAAACCGCCTGGTTTCTCTGAATCACGTTCTCCCAGTCACTATGAGTCCCTAGAGTCCATGAAAAGCTCCTTCTGCCAAACACCGAGGCACAATCCACAGTTGGTCCCACTTCCCACCCTTCCTGACCCTCCCTCAGAGGCGAATTGACTGCTCAGACACCATGCCGACAGAACAGGGCAGAAAATACTGCCTTTCCTTAAGTCAGGGTAGGAACAGGTGTGAGGGACTGTTGGCAATAGGATTTGATTTGCAATATGCGCAAATCCATGCTGACAAGGGCTAATAAAACAGGGTTCTAGGAAATTCTGGAGATAAAATTAATGCACTATCTGATTAAAAACACAACTCTTGACACGGAAAAATATGACCAAGATAATCCTCTAAACTCCAAGTAACTGGTACCAGGCAAGGCATCCACTTTCAGAAATGGGGTTCCACTAGAGGGTGTGTGCCCCAAGACAGGACTCTGTCCTCTTGTGTTTACCTCTGTATACAGTGTTCATCCAAGCGTCTGACCCAGCAGGTGTCCATTAGTGATTGTATGAATGGAGCCACCGTCTCAATGATTAGGAAAATGAAAGGACTGAGAGGCCATTGGCTGAGCCATGCCCCAGCCAAGCCATCACACACTTCCACACACTGACTCACATCCACCAGGTCAGTGAAGCACAACTTTTAGCTTTATTGGAAGGTGAGGGAACTGCAGTAACAAGTTTGTTTTTTAAATCTCGACAGTCTGGATGTATTGCTAGACCAACTCAACTTAAGCTCTGGGATTCTGTTTTTGAAATTTCATGGATGAGTAGGACTTCAGCCAAAGTGAGGACCAAAGTCCGTCAAGTTAGTTCAGATCCACAGTCAGAATGGACTGGGTTAGTTATCTAACCAACACAATTCATACCCCTGCTGCTCTCCTCTGTGTGTGTGTGTGTGTGTGTGTGTGTGTGTGTGTGTGTGTGTAGATCCAGATGGTTCAGTTAGAAAGTAAGGAAGAGCCCTGGGGAAGGGGAACAGAATGCGTGTGGCTCAAAGCCAGGAGAAGTCCTGTGAGTGAGATCTGAGAACAGGGATGTACAGGAGGGAGTGGGACAGTACAGTGCGGGAAGGGGATGAACAAGGACAAAGTAGGTACCAGTTCCTAAAGGAACTTCACACATTAACCAAAGACAAAAAGGAAGGCACAATTCCCTCTCTGCCTACAGGAAACAAATCAAGCACGCCACACCAGACAAGACACACAAGCTTGACTGTTGACTGCCCACTGGAGGCCCCTGTTTTCTCATCCTGACCCCACCGTTTGCTCTCCCACTTGGGTAGGCAGTGGCCATTGGTGGTAGAAGTGGGTTGACTAGCGCCCCCTTCATTTGCTCCAATTGTCTTTTAAGATATTTTATTACATTATTATTTTGTTTTATGTGTATGGGTGTATTGCATGCATGTATGTTAAGTGCATCCATGTTGTGCAATGCCCACGGAGGTCAGGGTGTCAGATACCCTGGAACTGGAGTTATGGATGGTTGTTAGCTGCCAGGTGGGTTCTGGGATCAAACCAAAGTCCTCTGGAAGAACAGCAAGCATTCTTAATTTTTGAGCCATCTCTCTGGCCCACTCCAACTGTCTTTAATATAAACCATTGAGATTTCCTCAGGCTTATCTAAAGTGAGGATGGAAGTGTTAGAAACCTGTGCACACAAACATAATCTAATTTAAAACTGTGTGCTTTATCAACTGGCGTCAAGTCCCTTGTTGGTCCCCGTTCTCCCCCCATAAGATGTGGCTCACAACCACACTTTCATCCAAACTCGGAGCTCCACATGCCTAGGCCACTCTGAAGATGGCTACCCCGCTTTGGGTGCTTGCCTGCATCTCTCCAGGCTCAGGTGGACCTTACCTGGCTATTCTGTCATGTTCCTTTAGCCTAGAAGGGCAAAGCTCACTCGTACAGTACTCAGTCCCCAGTACCCATCCCAGCTCACCTGCAGGAGCAGCAGCAGCAACTTCATGGTGCAGCCCCTGGTGTCCTGGGTGGGCTCTGGTCAGTTCTCACAGCCTGGTAACCTCACCAGGAACCAGGCGCCTCCTTCCCAGCCAAGGGCATCTCTTCTAATTGCTCTCTCAGGGGTAGTTAGGCCCAGACACTTCACCCCAGCTGTCTCCTCTGTTCTCTACCCCACTTGCCTTTATCAGAGTAGGCGGGCTGACGTATAAGCCTAACCTCCTCCGTGGCCAGTTCCTAGGAAGGGAGTGCTTGGATATCAAACACCAAACCACAGTCACTCCTGTACATAGAAAACTGGCTGGGCCTCCAACCCCAGGGATTATATAGCTCAGCCAGAGGGGAGAAAAGCCAGTGGAATTTTGTTTCTTTGTTTCTTGGTTGGTGTTTAGTTTCTAATAGAATACCCCATAATCTCTTTTTATAGTAAGCCATTTAACGGTTATTTCTTATAGTCATTCAAAACTGGAAAAACAACTTCAAGAAAGAACTTAATATCAGGAGGATGGGTGAGGAAGAACGAAATGAAAGGCTAGGATGTAGGTAGCGCCTCTGTAGAGCTCACACTGCACAGAACACGCCATGGGTTCCTTGTATGCCGAGGCCGGGCAAAAACTTACCTTCTGGGGCTGGAGAGATGGTGCTGGGGTTAAGAGCACTGACTGCTCTTGCAGAGGACCAGGGTTTGATTCCCAGCACCCACATGGTGGCTACGAACCATCCTTAACTCCAGTTCCTGGGGAATCCGATGCCCTTTTCTGACCTCTGTGGCATTGCACGACACGGGTGCACTCACATACATGTAGGCAATACACTAATACACATAAAAATAATAAATAAAATATTAAAAAAAACTTTCTAAGACTGCAATCTGCTTCTACAAAATCTTTATTCCAAGCATGTCTGGGCTCTGGGGTCTAAACTATTTCTAGTCAAACCTCTTCTGAACTTAGATGGAATTAGAACATGAGGGAGCATAGAAAGGAGCCTCCTTCTGGACAGGATCAAGGGCAGCCTGGGGTGCTGGTCTTTGATTGTCAGAAAGACTCATGCTGGGGTTCTATTACATGAGTGTTCAAAGTTGTGATGAATGGGCTGGAGAGATGGCTCAGTGGTTAAGAGCACTGGCTGTTCTTGCAGAGGACCCAGGTTCAAACCCCAGTACCCATATGGCAGATAACAACTGTCCCGTAACTCCATTCCAGGGGATCCGATACCTTCTTCTGACCTCTCACAGCCTTGCACAACATGGGTGCACTTACATAGATGCAAACATAACACTCATACAAATAAAATAAAAATAAAGTTTTAAAACAAAACAAAACAAAGTTGTGATGAGCAAAGTTTGAACTAAAATCTGAATCTGAATTCTGAGAATCTTAATATCTGATATTGTTGGGGCTGGAGAGATGGCTCAGTGGTTAAGACCACTAGCTACTCTTGCAGAGGACCTGGGTTTGATTCCCAGCACCCATATGGAGGCTAACAACCGTCCTAACTCCAGTTCTAGGGAAACCAACACCCGCTTCTGATCTCTGTGGGGAATACATGACACGGTGCACTTACATGCATGCAGGCAGTATACTCATGCACATAAAATAAAAAACAAATAAATAAAAAAAATCTGACATTGTTACCACATTATCTTGCTTTTAAATAGTAACCAGTTTAAGGTTTTTTTCTTTATTTTATGCGTACTGTCTGCATATGTGTAAGGGCACCCATGTGTGCAATACCTGTGGAGGTCAAAGAGGGTGTTGAATCCCCTGGAACTGAAGTTACAGATGTTGTGAGCCGTTATGTGGGTGCTGGGAACCGAACCTGGGTCCTCCACAAGAGTAGTCAGTGCTCTTAACCTCTGAGCCATATCTCCAGCCCTAGTGACCAAGTTTTTCTGCAGGCAAAACAGGTAAACTTCCTCGGATTACTGTGCTTTCAGAGTTCCGTGAGCTACCACTGAACATTTTTGCTGAACTGGTTGTCGTTTTAATTCCTCTCCTCAGCTTGTTATTGAAGTGTCACAGGTAAGGCTCCAAGGCCTCTAGGTGCTCCCTGTATAGAGAGGACGTGGGTAATAATGACTGACTCATTCTGTGCTTGTTTTCAGAGTGGATCGTTCAGCTGCCACAGCCCATGAAACCTTGCTGCTGAGCCCCAAATCTGGAGTTTGTGAGTCACGTGGGCTAAGCTTGGGAAAGCACAGGGCAGAGGCCTTGTGTGAAAAGGAAGCCCAGACTACAAGGCAGAGCAAGAAAAGTGGACTTGTTAGGACAGTAATGACTTGGAGCCACACGGTGGCAGCTCAGAGCTCCCCACAAGCTGGAAAAGAATGGGCTCCCTGTGAAAACGCAAAGTGTAAAAGCCACCATCACCTAGGCACAGCAGGTGATCCTCGAGTGCCCAAGGGGGCCCAGTCCACCTCAAGGTTTCAACATTTTGTTTTCTGACAACAAACACTGCTTCCATGAAAGAATGGTTTTACTTTGAATATTCCACACAAACCAAGTTCTGTGAATGTCAATAAATTTTATTTTCAGGGTTGTTGGTCAAGGCAGCTTGAATATGGTCGTCTCTGGTCTCTTCAGGGGTAAACGTGTTGTGTGGAAGGTCTCTACTGCCTCAGGAGTTGGTAACAGGGACCTTTAGTTGAGAATATAGTGTTGTGAGGTGCTTCACCAGAAAAGACCACTCAGACAACGTTTTGTCGAGTGAAAGTCGTTGCTGGCCAGGGCTACTACACAAGGGTGTCGGAACCCAAGTGTGCAGCCCCGAGTCATGTCCAGGGTAAGCTTTCATACAGAGAAAACATAACTAGTTGGTGCTGGTATGGACTGTGAAACACCAGGCCAGGTTTAAGTGGAAAGTTTACGTCTCCAAGCTTACAGGTGCAAACCCCCGTAACAATTTCTATTCTAAAGTAACAATTACTATTTTGCAGAAGCAAACCAAGCGCAATGTACAGAAGTCATAAATCTGCAGTTAGCAGGTGCTCTCCAGGACACTCTGACCTGTCCTGGGTTGTCCCCAAGACAACCCGGGCCCAGTGACATGTGGACCAACTGCCTGATAATTTCAGAGACTAGAGTCAGCCTAAACTTTAACATGGTAGCTATGGTCAAGAAGGTGCCCTATTACATTAGAAGCATTAAATCCATCATATCCTGAGAGCCAGACAGCTCAGGACTTCCACTTAGCAGAACTGATCCTACCAGCGCCCATCCCCGCCTCGACTGCTGATGTCAGGTGTGCAGTGGAGGCAAAAGCGTTGCTTCTGTTACGTAAGTCACAGAAAGCATTCACCCCTGGGCCCTAGACAGCAGGCCTGAACATGGTTTCTCCCTTGGAAAGCCAGATACGAGCACTGTTAAGGAATGAGGACACATCTCTGCCTTCTTGGTTTGGATTTCTGCTGAGGTGATCAACCAGCTTGTTGGACTCCGGGGCCAGCAGGGGAACTGTACTGGAGAGCAAAACTTGGGGAAGGACAGGCATGTTCCTAGACTGTTGCCATTTGGTCTTGTTCTGGTGGATCAAGTAAACGGAGCTGGCATACCCGGGTGTCAGCTTCCCTCCTGTCTCCAGTGGGGGTCCTGCTGGCGAGGGAGGAGGAAGATATGATCCTGGACAGAGGGGAGCCTGGTGGGGCACATGGGTGCTTTCGGCACCGAGGTGAGGCCGCACAAGGCTAGAAGAGCCTGCTGCAGAGGGTCCTGGCATTTCTGGCTCTCCTGTCTCAGACTCTGAGGGGACAGAGCCTAGGAGAGTCAGGAAGCAGAGATGTCCTGGGGAGAAAACAGAGCCTGCATCTGCCCCCTTGTGCTGGTGTGCAAGGTGAAACACTGGGCCAAGTGTCTAGACAGATGTAGACTGGACAGGCGTGTCTAGACAGGAGTCTAGTCTACTCAGAGGGAGAAGAGAGGTTTGGCTTCAATCAAGCCTGACATTGACCCTTTAAACTGGACTTGTCACGGCTAACTGTAGTGACCAGAGGAAAGTGGACAGGGAGGTCGAATCACAGATTAGGGTGATGAAAATAGTTCCTGTTCAGACTCCACTGAGTCAAAGCCTCTGGGAGTGCTCACTCGTAACTATGCGATTATTCTGAGTTCAAGGTTCGGCTTCTTATAATCACAAAAATGTTTGACTCAGAATAGTGCCAGGAAGAGATCTGTGTGTGCAAGGAGGTATGTGTTCATGTGAGTGCACCTGTGTGCAGGCATGCTTACAGGTATGGAGGTCAGAAGTCAACCTTGGGTGACTTATCTCAGGAACAGTGTACCTTATTTTAGGGGACAGGGCTGCTCATTGGCCTGGTTCCTGCTAATTAGCCTGGTCTGGCTGAGCAGCAAGTGTCAGGGATCCTCCTGTCTCTATCTCCCCAGCGCTAGGATTACAAGTACGTATCACCATGACCAGCTGACATCTTTAAAAAATTACATTTACTTCTCGTGTATTTGTGTTCGTGCATATAGATACACACGGCACGGTGTACATAGGGGGTCAGAGGGGTAACTTGTGGGAGTCAGTTCTTTCCTTCCACCATGTGGGTCCTGGGGATCAAACTCAGGTCCTTATGCTTAGCTGGCAAGTACTTTATTGGCTGACTCCCCAGTCCAAGAATAGATCTTCTAAATAAAGCACCCAGGGGAATTCTGCATCCAGTCACAGTAAAGTGATTCTGTAAGTCTGAGCCTGCTGTGAACAACAGTCACCAACGGAAGCTAACTCAGCTTCCAAGGGCAGAGTGTTAGAAATAAAATCTGAGGTCCAAGGACCCCATCAACACACATAAAGAACACTCGGACAAAGTGAAAGCAACTCCACAAGGCAGATTTTACTTTTGCAAAAAGGTGACTTGCTTGCGTGACGAGTCAGAATCAGTAAGCACTCGCTGGACCCAGAAGCTTGGGGGATTTTCTCCCTAATGTGAGAGCGCTGTCTTTTCCCATTGGCTGGGGTCCAACCTCACAGTCCTTCCCTGTTGTGTGGAAGGAGAAGAACTCTACT